GGGATGTATGTACCGATGAATGAATCACAATTAGTAAGCGCAACATACAATAGAAATACCTAATCAGTTATGCATACAAACGCTCTTACCTTTAAGAGCACCATGATCTATTTCCAGATTCTCCATATCACTACTTTTCACCTAAACTTGCCTAGTAGAAGAGTTAATCCCAATCAACCGTGTCATACCTCGGTCAATTGACTCACCTAAATAGTGAAAAAGTCAATCTGGCTATCAAAATCCCGATATTTATTTCTACTGAAGTTCTGATTTCTATTCCTCTTTAGGAATTTATGACATATAGGTCTCATATGGCCTAACTCACTACAATTAGATAAACCTAGGACCAAGATTATGTGGTTGCTGATTTCTATTCCTAGGTTGATAGGTCCTATAATTTCCTTATTCTTGAATTCAGGGCTTGGAACGTACTTAAGCTGGTCAGTGTCAGGGACAAAAATGGTCTTGAAAGTACTAGTAGCATTGTGATCATTCTCCTTGTATCCTAAACATCCCTTATTACCAGCAGGCTTGCTCATTTTTAAGATACTATCAAACTTCAATGAACCACTAGAGAATGCAAGGAGTTGGGTATTGGAATCCTCAAGATTGCTTATAAGGGTCTTAACCTTATTTTATAAAGCTCATTCATAACACTTAACTCACTAAGCCTCTCAAAGGACTTCTCAAGATCACTCATAAGATTCTTAACCTAAGTATCTAAGAATTCATTCATAGAGTTCAACTTATTGATGGATAAGATAGATTCCTGAAGGTCAGCTATTAGTTTTTCTTTCTCTAGCTTAAGATCTTTTACCTTCGTATGTAAGGCTTTATTCGGAGACAATATCCTAAGGTTCTTCTCATATAACTTATCATAGGCTTTATGTATTTCTTCCTCATCTTCAAAATCTTCTTCAGATTGCTCACCGCTATCATATCATCAACCTTTTACTCTCCTTATCAGATTCACTCCTAACCTTAGTAGTGAAGGCTAGATATCGCTTTCATCTTGAGTGGACTTCTCTCTTTGATTATCCGAGTAAGACTTGTCATCAGCGAGAGTAACATTCATAGCTTTATCATTATTTCTCCCACTGTTAGGGTACTCACTCCTATAATGGCTTAAAATATTGACACTTACGATGTCTCATAGATTGAGATCTCTCTAGACTCATTGGGAGTACCTCTATATCTCTTTTGAGGCTTCTTCTTTAGATTGAGTTCTCCTCATCATTAGGTGACTACAAATCAGATAACTCATTACAGTTATCGCTAACAGTGGTCAAGGCTAAAGACTTATCTTTTGTAGGTTTAGCTAATGTTAGTTCGTAAGTCTGGAGAGATCCAACTAACTCTTCTACCTTAATAGTATCTATATCCTTAATTTCTCCTTAATAGTATCTATGTCCTTACTCTCCTTTATAGTCGTAAATTTAGGCCTAAATATCTCAGGTAAGGATCTAAGAATTTTTTCGACAATCTTAGGCTCAGGTTTTCTCTTATCTAGGTTGAAGCTAGAGCTAACTATGTCATTCAAACTTGCATAAAAGTCATCGAAGTTCTCATCCTTCTTTATCATAATCTCTTCAAATCTAGTTGATGTGATCTAGGAGTTAAGCCTAATGAAGACAAGTGCGAAACAAGACTCGTTGATAATCGAAGGCGGACCGATAACGTGATCAATAGCAAAGCGGGTGAAACAAGCGATGGAATTATTAGTTTAGTTGACTATTGATGGGACGTGTTCGGGATATAAAATGAGGCAACTTTCATGTTCGGGTCAAGAGCCGAAACAAAGTAGATCAATTCAATCTAAGCTAACGAAGTCGAAAAACAACCAGACTACTATGCAATCGCATAGTGCAATATGGGTCGCAACCGCATATGCAAGGGCAGGGAATTCACGGTGCTAGTTCAAATGAACTATATGACCGCATACATTTATACTATGCGGTCGCATAGTTATAAATTGGGGTCAAGATTTTCCTTTTTCATTTTTTTTCCATATTTTGCAAGATTTTATTTCTTTTCCATATCAATGTAATCTTGGACGAGTTTTGTATGATTTTCACTAGATTTTCTAGGGGTTTTGAGTCTAGTATAAATAGAGATTAATTTTTTTATTGTAACCTTAGACACTTTATACATTAATTTAAGAGAATTTTAATAATAGACTATTGTGCTTTCTTCTCCATTCTTCATTGACAATTGAAACTTATCAAGGATTGTAATTCTTGTGGCATTCTACAACTCGGGGGCGAGTCTTGGATTGTGTAATCAGGGGGTCCTTCAAGCAACGATCTTGCTAGGTTTGTTGGTTCACTAATTTGGGGTCCAATCTCTAACCTCTAATTTGGCTTTTCTGGATTTTGGAACAATCTTGCTATGGGTTTCATAGTCAACGTTGCTACGAGGTTCGCATAAGTTGGTATCAGAGCATAGGCTCCAATTAACAGGTTATATCTTTTTGTTTTCTTCGTTGAGTCTAGTTTTTTTGTTTTCCGCATTTTTGTTAATTTTCTTTCTTCGTTCTTCGTTCTTGGGTCACTTTTGTCAATTTGTTGGTAGTTTATCTTTTGTTATTGTTTTTATGTAAAAAAAAAAAACAGAAAAGAAAAGAAAGAAATCGAGAAAAAGGCAAAAAA